ATATATCTGAACTTATCATTGCATCTTGAAAGTTCACAAACGAATAAAATAGTCTTTATTAGTGATAACCCTTCTTCAAATTATACCTGATTTTATGCCCTGCATGGATTTTTATTAGGCTAAAAAAATTGGTACCAACCACAATATTGGTTGAAAAAAATGATAAATTTCTGTAATTGCCATTCTAGAGATGTAATTAGAAGGCTAGGTGTATAGTTTGGAGGAGAAGGGCACGTTGTAAGGCTCTGGATTTGATCTCCAGCATAGGAAGAAAGAAGAAATAGGAAGAGAGAGACAGAGACAGAGACAGAGACAGAGACAGACAGACACATACAGAGAGAGAGAGAGAGAGAGAGAGAGAGAGAGAGAGAGAGAGAGAGAGAGAGAGAGAGAGAGAGAGAGAGAAAGCATGTGGAGTGGAAGAGAGGCCAGAGGGCAAAAGGGAAGTGAGGAGAGAGAAAGGCAAAGAACCTGGAAATGTAAAGACCCTCAGCCTGGCTTCTTTCTCATAGTGTGGCCCAAGGGGGCGGGGATTTCTAGGGAACACTATATCTGTGTGCTATGCTTTAACAAACAGTCACTATGAGATGGCAGTGGGTGGAGAGTGTCCATTTGATTCACATTTAGGAGACTTACAGTCTGTTTTGAAATGGCTCTATTTTTCCAACCCTGTCTTGCCCCTCCAACTTATTCTGTGTTCCCCACTCACTCTCAAATTCAAGACCTTTCCTTGAGCATGCATGCACACACATACATACACACACCTGAATCATTTGGTGCTGCTCCTATGTACATAAGTTTAAGAGCTGACTCTATGAGGAAGTTGTGTCCCAGGAATAAAAACAAAAAACAAAACTGATTCTTCCTCTCAGCAGCCATTGGTTGCCTGTAGCTTTTCATCTAGGGGCAGGGTCTTGTACGTGTCCCCCAACAACTTTGTCATGTCAATTGGTGTGGTCATTATGCTTGTCTTGTTTAGGTTACCATATTTTTGAGATTTCATGGGTGCATGGGTGGTCTTCAGGCTCTCACCGTCTTCCAGGAATTCCTATATAATGCTCAGAGCCTAAAATCCTATGTCCACAATAAAAACATATTCTGTTAGTAAATTGAAATGCTTTGTTCTTTTATATGTTGGTCTATCTTAAAAATGCCAGAGTAGTTTGTAAAACCCCAAGTAACTGTGCAAGCACAAATAAGACTTGAGGGAAAACTCTGGAGGAGGAGCTCAGGAACTAGTTTGTAAGTTTATTTGAAAAAAAAATTCCTTAACTTTGTGCTAGGCAGCGTTGGGTTCCTGTAAGAAAATAACTCAGTTAACAAACTTACGAAGAGAACAGCTTTACGTTGGCCATCCCAGGCCTTGACTGCTTTGGACGTGTGACATCATGGCAGGAATACATGGCAGAGAAAAGTTACATTATGGCCAGGAAGCAAAAGAAAGGAGGAAGAAAAACCTGGAGTCCCAAAGTCTCCTCTGACAGCACAACTGGCATGCCCTAGCTGCTTCCACGAGGCCTCGTGCCCCCAAGGCTGTGCTCTTCCTGGGGACCATGCACATACTGTGTGGCTTTGGGAGAACAATCCACACCCAAGTTACAGCAAGCATCTTGCCGTCAGTCTTCTCCAAGTCAATACTTTGCAAATTTTTTTTTTTAGTTTTGATGTTAGAACTGAAAGTGATTATTTTTTTCAGCTTTTTTCCTCTTTTTTCTTTTATTTATTTTTTAATTATACTCATGATATTCTTTAATTACACTCATGATATTAATTACATTTGTGGTATTCATTGATTACATTTGCAGTATTCATTCAATAATGATATTTATGATATTCATTAATTACATTTATTGTATTAACATACATGATATTATGTCCTGATACTACTGTCCGTTTGTGGGGCTATTCCATCACACAAAACAGAGATTCTGTTTTTAGGAAATCATTGCTCTATATTCCTTTCTTCTCTATCTTGAGATAACTTCTAATCTATTGATTCTCTGTGTTGATGTTGTGTAATTTTGGTAGGTTGCAACTGGAATTTCTAAATGGCTGAAACACATTTATGATGCAGCATACACACTAGGATTAAATGCTATTTCACACAAATTTTGTTATAGAGAGGACATGTGTATGTGTGTATGATATGTGACTTGCACAGGATGTTGTATTAATCATTAATGGAAATATATTTAATAATTAAATACTGCACATGTAAGGAATAAAATTTAATATTTTAATATACATATAATGAAAGAATCACCAAACTATTTAATATATCTATTACTTCAAATAGTTACCACTTTCTTTGTGTGTGAGAAGATATCAAGTATATAACAAAGTACACATTAATTAATCAACTGTGGTCATCCTACTTTGCAGTTCCAGACTGTTTATCTTACATTAGAGTAAATGTATTATTTTACATTGGTTTAAAAATGATTGAAATATACTTGAGTGAATTGGCTTCCAATGAATCGTCGTGACCTCGAAGATGTGAGTGACCAGTGGCTGTTGTTGTCTGGCTGGAACCCAGACTCTGCATCTAAGCAAACGCTGAGCTCAGGGCCATGCAATGCTGAGGCATGTTGTCCAGTTACCCCAACTTTCCAGCCTCCACAGCACTGCCGCCCGTGCCCATGTCTTTCTCTATTTGTCCCTTGGCCTCAAATGCTCCTGGCGACCCAGAATGTTTCCTGTAGGACCCTCTGAACCAACCTGTCCACCCTTCCTTCAGTCCTGATACCTTCATTGGTGTGCTGTAGCCTCAGAACACTCTCTTGCACTTAATATGGGCTTGGACGTCTATTTGTCCTTATTAGATTCTGGAAATTTCTAAAGACAGGTCTTTACAACACAGGCTTTAGAGTCTTTCTCTCATGTTTATATCCTGTTCTGTCAGTCTTATAAGAAATTTATTGTCTTAATGACATATATTTATTTTAAATGATTAAAAAGCAGTTGAAAAATATATATCGTTTTATAATCTTAAGGTGACCAGTTCATTTCTTAATAAGTGTTTCTTTCTAATTGGCCAGTATAAACACTGGTGTCTGACTGAGAGTGACCTCCCTGGCAATGTGATGTTATCTGGTTTTGTTGTTGTTTTGTTTGTTTGTTTGTTTTTGTCAATATCCTGCAAGCTAGAGTCATTTGAGAAAGGGACTCCCAGTTGAGCAAATGCGTCTATAATATTTGCCTATAATCTGTGGTTTCTTGATTTTCTTGATTAGTGTTAGATATAGGTAGGTCCATCTCAGTGGGGTGGCATGCCATCCCTGGGAAGGTGTACCAGATGGTATAAGAAAGAAGGCTGAGCAAGTCAGAAGGAATAAGCCATGTTCCTCCATAGTCTATGCTTCGTTCCTGCCTCCAGGTTCCTAGTTTGAGTTCCTGTCCTGACTTCCTTCTGTGGTGGACTGTGTCTTAGAAGTCTAAGAAAATCAAAATCTTTCTTCCCCAAGTTGCTTCGGTAATATTGTCTTATCACAGCAATAGTAGCCTTAACTAAGAGAGCGTTTGGGGGTCAAATTTTCTCTTTGAGAATCAGCTTTAGTTCCATGATGAAAATTTTACTCTTCAAACTTATGTCATTTAGTAAAATCAAGTGTATATTTCAGATAGAGGTTTTAAATCTGTTTTCTATAACATAGGATATATAGTGGAAGAATACTCATTTTATTCTATTCTCATGATACCTGAGGTGAAATATGATCTCTTTCAGTGAGTGTGTTTCCTCCCAACCATTCATGGTCGTTGGTGTATACGCATTACCTACATATTTCACTGAGATGCTCCCTCTATTCTCTGGGAACTCTGTCAGGGATTACTCGCCTGTGTCATTTGGCTAATGAAGCATCTGGCACAAACTTTAAACTACAAACTCTTATCACTATTAAAGCAAATCTGGGTTAGTTTTATGATTAGAATTGGGAATGTCTGTTCAGTGTATTCCATGTAATTAGATAAACTAGACTTGGTCCTTAGGTCTTACATACCTCCTGTCTTTTAGCCTTAGACTAGGATCTCAGGAACTCCTCACGTCTCCGTTGTGAGCTGCCTGGTACCTTTTCATACTATGCATTACAGATCCAATGCAGTTTGCAAGGGTCGTTTTTGTCGTCTTCGTTGACACTTCTCTTCAGGTGCCGGGAACACTTGGTTCGTAATTGCACATGGCCTTCTGCTTGGGTGTGCAGTGTGTTGGCTGCGCCCTTTGCTGCCCATGCTTCACTTGTTAGTGTGCACACATCGGAGCAGCAGTGGGACCCTGGTCCCATAGTTCTCTCCTGCCGTCCACCACTGCCTGTGCTGTCCCCCTTCCCTGTCACACCTGTGCTCCTTGACAGCAGTGGCTCTTCCTCTTTTTGGAAGAAACATTTGGTAACGCTCAGACACAGTTTTCACTGTCAAATTGGAAAGAGTGCTTCTGGTGTCTGAATATAATAATTTCCCAAATAGTTTCTGGACTTCCAGAAGCAGTTGGAAATCCTGTAATAGTCAGTACTTCCCTCTCAAATAAAAACGAATCTTATCTGACCCCAAATGGCAAGAGCATCAAGATGGGGGAAACTTCCTGTCTAGAAATGGGCTTTGTATTTATAAATTGAACTTTCAGATTTCTCTCACACATGATATCTAACTTAATATATAGCCTCGATCCAGGCTAGCTACTTAGTGGCAAACAGATGGTATCTCAAGACATCTCTGACTTATGCAGCAGGAAAGGAAAACATTCATGGAAAATGTTTTCCTTGTTGTTTCATGGGCAGTTTGATATTACCATAGTTAAATAAAATAGAGGAAGAGGAAACAGAAGCACCTCCTCAGATAAAGTATAAAACTAAAGAGATTAATATCATTTCCCTTACAAACCTTTTCTTCCGAAGGACATTTCTTGTTTTGAAAGTTGCATTTGCAGAAATGTTGCAAGAAAACTCTATAGGAAGCTTCATGCTGACATTGTTTCATGGTTTTCTCCTTTATTTTTTCTCCTTTAGATATTTCACATTTTCAAGAACAAAATGATTTAAAAGGATTGTTGGACAATCTCCATCAAAATATTCAAGCCAAAAAAAGAAAGAATGTAGAAATCATGTGGCTGGCAGCAACAGTAAGCACTCCTCTTCACCTTTTCCCCTGCACACCATTACCAACAAGCGTTGTCAGGAACATGTGATGCAGGGTCTGAGCCCCGTACTTTGGTTCCTAGGTTTCATCTTGCATTATCTACTTAACAAGGCATCATCGCTTTGCTGATCATTTTATCAATAGAGATGGAGAAAGATGAGCTCAACATGGAAAATGCTCCTTATTGACCCTCCTTACTGACTTTGGGTTTGCTTGTCACTCCGAGGTCAAAAGGAAATATCTTGTCAATGTTATGTGGCAATTTTGAACTGCCATTGTAGAGACACGTGATTCCAATTGTATGGTTACCAGATCCCTGACTTAAGACTCATAGACACATTGTTCAATTAATGAGCTTGTAAATGTGTTTGTTAGTTTAAGTATTGGCACAGAATTTATTATTGATTGATTGCCATGGGTTAACAAGCTGAACTGTGAATGGCTCTCTCTCTCTCTCTCTCTCTCTCTCTCTCTCTCTCTCTCTCTCTCTCTCTCTCTCTTTCTCTTTCTCTCTCTCTCTCTCTCTTGCTTAATGGCACCCTCAGGGTGAAGATCCGCCTGTTTTCCTGCCCAGACTTCCACAAGCATTAGGGAGAGAATCATGCTTGTGGTTTTAAGCTTTTCTCTGACAACTTGAGACAGAGTTCATATTAAATTTATGAATTTTGTTAAAATCTCAAATCCTAGGAAGTTTCATTGGGAAAGCATCCCTTCACCAGGAAAGGCACCCTGGAGACCTCTGTGATGAGTCTGTGTTTACAGCCTCAGCTGTGTCACTCCTGCAGTTCAGAGTTCAGATTCATTAGCCCTGCAGCTACACGTTACTTAAGTCCCATCAAAAGCATTTAGATCAACCTTTCCTACTATTACCAATGTTACTTAGCCACTTCTGGAAAAAAAGAAGGGATAATTTACCATGAAACCACATAAAATAATCAACCAAAAAGAAGACAGAGCAAAGTTCTTGCCTTGCCTCCCTGATATGCTTGGAAAAAACATCAAAGGCAGCAAAGCCAGGAAACACTGCTTTCAGACAGGCTACTTACACTGGTCACACTCGGCACCACACCAGCTACGGCGTTCTGTGTATCCATCATGGTTATTAATTCACATGGTTCTGTGATACCATCATGGTTATTAATTCACAAAAATTCACTATAGTAAGCTTTACAGTATTTTTCATATTTTGCTGAAAACATAGCATCCAGGAAGTCTGATCATTTGCAAGGCCCTCAATATCTGGGGACCATATGAATATGGCATTGTATACATGAGGTAAAATTATCTAAAAAGATAGATCAATCATAGATTCATGAAAACATGAAAGCACATCTTCTCTTGGTACATTCTTTTTCCCGTTTGAATATATAAACACTTCTCATCAATCTTATCTCTGAATGTTTGTCTGGTATGTGTACCATTCATAAGGTTCTCACATAACTACCCGTTGATTGTGTGTTCCCAGCACTGATGGAAGGTGAAAGCTCACTTTCAATACCAGCTTCCTAACCAGAACAAATAAGTAATACACCTAAAGTGAAAAGATCCAGGAATCCTCCTTGACATTACCAAAGGATTTTATTTTGGTTTCCCTTTGCCCTCTTTATATCTGTCTAATAAAATACTGCCTTTGTGGATGTTTCAGTCTAATTAAAATGCACAGTTCTTTAATTTTTTCTTTACTTAATTTAAATAATAAAAAGGAAAATTTTAAGAAACCAAATGATCTCTGAGTATGTACAAGCAAGCTTGTATCACTCAAAAGCTGTAGAGAGACTGAAATGGAGACTTTTCTTGCCTGCTGTGGAGAGCATCCCACCTGCACTTGACTTTAAATGCAAAGCACTAAATATCTCCAGCAGGAGAGGTACATGTGAAAGTAGCAATATATTTTAAGGAATATTAATTCTTTTAAAATTATAACTCAAAAGTATACACTAAGGTCTATTTTATGACTGTGGATATAGTCAGCTTTTGAAAATGTAAAATACTATTTATTTGAAAGAATTAAAATTTTCTAAGTAAAAAGAGATGATATGATAAAATCATACTCTCATTTTTCTTTAGCTACTTTTATTGGAAATAGAAGGGAGTAAAAATCTGAATTAATAGGGACATATAAATCTTACTTTAAGTACCAAATTACAATTAAAATACAGTGAAAAAATCCTCAATAAAAACAGTTTTAATGTTTCTTCTCCAAGCAGGCACTTTTAAGGCCCCGTTGATTACAGATAATAAAGTAGATGGTTATTGTGTCACATTAAATTTATCTTAAATGCACATTGATTAGCATTGCTGATGCTGCAGTTAATTATTGGTATCTCAACTCAGAAACCATCATGGGCTAGAAGAAAATGGAGCAGAGGGTCTACATGTTAAATGTAAGACAATGAGAAAATGAGTATTCCTGAGCCAGAGACCATTGTCTTATAAAATAACAAGATTCACAGAGGGACACCAGATATACAGAAGTTAAAAGCGTGGTGTTTGGACTTAGGCAGACATGCATTTCCAGCCTGTTCCTGCTCTGTGCACAGACAGGTTACACAGTTTGTGTAAGTTTCTGTTTTCCCCACTGTAGAGTGAGGGTAGTCATGGTTTCCACCAGGGCTCATGCTCAGTTCATTATAAGAATTTATCTATTGGTCGCTTGTAACTCTGCTGTGTGACAATCAATGTGAAGTAATGGTAGACAATTTAGTGTTCCCAATATTGCCATAGCGTTCCCTTATCTATATAGATATTTTGAAGCATAAATTCAAGTCCAGAAAATATTTTTATTTTCAATAGGTGATTTTAATATTATTTATTATTTGAGAATTTTATACCTCCATATAATATGTTTTGATCAAATCTACCCAAATCACTTCCCTCTAATTCCTCCTCTCTGCCTACACCAGCACTTCTGCCTTCCAGTGTCTGTGCTCTTTTTTAAACCTACTGATTTTTTAAATCCACTTAGTGCTGTCTATATGTGAATGCATGCAGAGCCGTCTATGGAGCATGAGTAGCCTCTCAGATACAGGAACTATGATGTAAACTGACTCTTCCTCCCCCAGCAGTCATCAATTTCCAATAGTTTCTCAGCTAGGGGTGGGACCTCATGAGACCTTCTCATATCAATAATAAGATTTTTGGCTTGTTGATCTTAAAAAAAAATAGACTTTAGGTAAACATCAAGCATTTAATCTGGGATAAGCTAAACGGATTGCTTCATTTTCAGCCAAGCTATTGCTCCTGAGCTGTGAGTGGCATTTATGCAAATCAGGCATCCTGTATGCCTCCTCTGTGGGATCTGGGTCATCTCATACCCACTCACAGAAGTAAACAAGTTAAAGTTAGCCTTCTAGCTTAGAAACGGGAAAGGCAATGTGCTTAATTTAGGGTAGACAGACCGCTTGATGCCTTGTTTTCATTGGTATCTTGCAGATTTGCCGCAAACTCAACGGTATTCGCTTTACCTGCTGTAAAAGTGCCAAAGACAGGACCTCGATGTCAGTCACGCTGGAACAGTGCTCCATCCTGAGAGACGAGCATCAGTTGCACAAAGACTTTTTCATCCGAGCCTTGGACTGTATGAGAAGGTATCAGATATGTCTTAAATTCTGTTTATGTTAAGGTCACTTTAAAAAAAATTAAAACCCATACCTCACTAGAAGACCAAACATTTCATAATTTCTTTGTATTTCCACATTTTCAGTTAGAAGCATTCCCTCCACTCATTTGGGGCAATAAAAAGAAATACAGCTGTGCATGCATTCAGTAATGTGCATGGAAAACACACTCGGTTAGTTTTTCGTCTTGAGGTGAATGGCTCTGTATAGCTAAGGCACTCCTTAAAGAGTACATTTTCTTGACATGTTTGAGTATTTACAAAATAGCACTAAGTCAATAGACAAACAAAATCTCTCCAGACGCAACTAGGAGATTGTCTATCCATGTTGGTATGGTCTTTGCATTGGTGACATTCCCCATCAGAAAGGCAGTTACTGTGATACTTTAGAGATCTGATATTACAACTCTGCCAACATGTACAATACTATGCCCCAAGTTATATCTTGATTACTTTCCACAGTAATTAAATCAGAACTTGAAGGAAGCCATAATTGGAAAGAAAAGGTGTCTCATTCAAGATGTCTATGAGCAAGGACACGTGTTAATATAAAGGTGACAAAGGTCAGCTTAGAAGTTCTGGGCCCCCGCTGGGAGCTGCTTCCTGGTCCTTCCTGTCTGTCTTCCCATTGGCTGCACTTTCTTTGTGATTCTGCGTCTCCCGGTGGAGACACAGAAGCATGCCTGCCTGCATTGCAGCAATGCGTGTTTTCCACTAAGGAGAAGCTTCTTTTTACATCTTTTCATGTCTCCTGGCATCTTCATTGCTCAGCAGAGTTCTGTCATCAGTCTTGATAACCATTTGAGGATGGTTTAGAAGCCTGGCATGAACGTCTCAGCCATATAAAATGTGCTTTATTGCCATAAATGTCTTTCAAAACTGATCTTTCAGTACTAATGGGGAAAATACTGAATGTGAAGATGGAATCTAATTGCAGAACAGGACTGCAGATGTCACTATGGATGCCCAGCTAGTGGAGGAGTACAGTAAATAGGCCAGGGCCACCACAGGACTGACAGGACTTCGCGGTCAGGTGTCTGGAGTGTGAAACTGTCATTTATTTGTTTAAGATTGGAAGAAAGGACCTCTAAATTAGAAAGGAAATTCTTCAAACAGGCAAACAAAAAGCATGTGTTCCTATACATGCTGAACCATAAGAATGCATATTTTTGTATTACATAGGTTTGCACATAATTGGCATTGTATATGTAACTTATTTGCTTGTGATGTGACATTTATGGGACTTTGTGATTTAGAATTAATTTTTTCTTCTTTTTAAAAATTAAGTTGCTGGAGATTTAACCTAAAACCAATTATGTCTTTTAAATTTCATTTCTCTATTACCCTGGTAATACTTTCCTGTTAAATTTCTTTTATGCTAACCTTCAAACCAGTCAAATTTATCTCTTATTTTGTATATATAAAGTGGTTATTTTAGAGTGTGAGGGTTTCTTTGGAAATGAGTGTAGGTGTGCACATATTTCAAAAACATAAGGCATGTTGATTGAAAAGAAAAAAAACCATGTGACTGCCTGGGTTTCCATCTTTGGGCATTTGGCTTTGTAAGACAAGCTCATAGGAATATACACTCTGTCTGTCCAGCACGGAGGTCAGAGGACAGCAGGAGAGGTCAGAGGACATCAGGAGAGATCAGAAGACAGCAGGAGAGGTCAGAGGACTGGAGTTCAGAGGACAGGGCTTGGAACCAATTGAACTAACTTAGAATTCAGGTTTCCTCACATATTACCAAGGAACAAGTTAATCTCACTGCTTCTTTGTGCCTCAGGGAAGTTAGTCAGTCCCTTGGTACCTCAATGTCCTCATCTGTAAAAGGGTCACATAATAGTAATCACTTCTTGGGAGTGTCATGAATGAAAGGAACTGATAAATGCAAACTAATGAGACTAATGTTTGACAGTGTAAGTTACATTTATTAAATAAAAACTAGACATCAAAGGTTATAATGTTGGTATTATATCATTGGAGTTTAAATAAACTTAACTAAGTATAGCCTTTGTAGTTTTATGTTTGGGAAACGTTGGGATTTGGGTTTAACTCCAGTACCACATATTAAATTGTTGTTGTTAGTTTTTCACTCTTTTGGCTCTTTGCTCTTTGGTGGGGGGCCATCATCCAGCTCCCAAGTAAATCACTTACAAAGGCTTATTCTTAATTATAAATGCCTGGCCTTAGCTTGGCTTATTTCTAGCCAGCTTTCCTTAACTTAAATTATCCCATTGACCTTTTGCCTCTGGGCTTTTCCCTTTCTCTTACTTCTGTGTATCTTACTTTCACTCTTACTCTGTAACTGGCTGTGTGGCTGAGTGTCCTTGTTCTCTTGTGCTTTTGTCTTCTCCCAGATTTCTCCTCCTTTTTATTCTCTGCCTGCCAGCCCCACCTATCCTTTCTCCTGCCTAGCTACTGACTCAGTCACTCTTTATTAGACTGTCAGGTGTTTTAGACAGGCAAAGTAACACAGCTTCACAGAGTTAAACAAATGCAACATAAAAAAAATGCAACATGTCTTTGCATCATTAAAACAAATGTTCCACAGCACAAACAAATGTAACATATCTTAAAATAATATTCTACAACATTAAATCATGTGTTTTATAACTTTAGAACAATCAGCAATTAAAAAGGTGTGTGTGTTTACAGATACTAACTATAGAAATAAAAGAAGTATCAAAAGAAGCCTGTGAAGGTTCCCTCTGAATATTACTGATGCTTATATATATATTATTATATGTCCTTACAAAGAAACATGAGCTTTGATCTCAAAAATTCATCCTAACAGACAATAGACCTGATGTCCAGTGTTTGGTGTTGAGCACTCAGGAAAGCATTAGAGCCAGCCAATTATAGGTCTCCAGTCACATTCATCTTCTGCACTGGTATCACCTGAAATTATTTTATTATGTGTTTAACTACTTCAAGTTCATTAGTTAAAATAGAAATCACATAAAAAAAGTCAATTTTTTTAGAACTTCAAGGTTGTGTACAAAACTAGAGTGCACTGTCCACATTGGCTCATAACGAGTCAAATATAATGGCAGAGTTTATATTCCTTCCTGCCAACATGCTCTGTTATGTTCACCAATGTATGTAGACACTGAGTGTGGTGTCTTGTCCATGATAAAATAACTATAACAGGACAGGGACATGCAGGTAGCAGAACATCAAAAACCCAACAGAGGATACTTGTTCTTCCCGTACAGGCAGCAGTTTCTCAGGAATAAGACTGTCTCGAGTTGTTGGTTGACTTTCATTGTTGACCAGAGACTTGAACTGCTAATTTTTTGCCATTGAACTAGTCCAGCTTTTCATTCATGGTGCTAGAGCTGTTTTCTGACCTCTTCACTCCATGGTCTGTGAAGTTCCCCTCGCCAGACACTGACCATGAGTGATTATTAGACACCTTCAGGAAGTTATACAAATACTTATGCTTAGGTCTGTATGTCTTATAATTGAAAGATCTTAGGTAGGTGTGGAAATAAAAAAAGTTAAGAACTTAACTAATATTCTAAGATACACACTAGATTTAATAATACCTTAAGGTTTTAGTTAACTTATTTATGTATGTGTGTGTGTGTGCGTGTGTGTTGTGTGTATGTATGCATATGTTGTGTGTGTATGTGTCTCTCTCTGTGTGTATACGCATTTGTGAGTGCACACATGTGTCTTGGTATGTTTATGGAGGTCAAAGGGAAACTTAGGAGCCGAGTCTCTCCTACCATGTGGGTTCCTGAGATCAAACTCCGATCTTAGGCTTAGCAGGAGCTTCTTTACCCCCTGAGCTGCCCAGTGTTTTAAATTTTGTTGTTTGTTTTTTACTTACTGTGCTTGTAATTTTAATTTATCAACAGTTGCATTTTATTTTTCTTTGAATCATTCCAACCACTCTTCAGACTTTTTCAAAAGTTTGTCAATGCTATCACAGGTTATTCTCTTGTGATGCTTGTATTGACAGTGACCTGCAACTCCCAGTCAGTCACACAACTGCACGGGGGATGGATGTAATGCCATGTGGTGCTGTGGCACTAAGACATGATGCAATACTTGTACAGCATTGTCAACTCATAGCAGGAATCCTGGGACTTGATTCTGTCACAAGCTGAGGACAGTCTGAGTTACTTTCAGTGGTATGCTCATGACATGGTGATGTGTTTGATAGACATGGTGGATTTCAGACCATCTCTTCATATGGGAAAGGTAGCAAGAAATCTGGGTGCCTCCTATTCAGTCATAGTCTCTTTGTACTGACTGTGTTTTACAGGGCAATGATTAGCAACAATCATCTCCCACTCTATCAGAAGATCCATAGATCAGATAAACAAAAAAGGCAGGAGTCCCAGAAGACTGGCCACTGAGATGGAGTCAAAAATGAGAATCACTCCAAGTCTGCCTCATTTAAACCAGTTCTAACAGGAATTCACTTTCTTAGACAACCAGTTTCTAGCATGCTCTTGAGTTATGAGGTGCCTTGTCTAGTCAAAATCCTCCTCCTCAAGACTCAATTTTACAAAATGGTGGATACATGCTTGGCTAGTTGTCTCTTGATTCTGCAGTTTGAGGATTTTTTTACGAAGAGAGTATAGGAATGAGGCCTCTGTTTTCAATTCTAGAATATCCATTGAGAGCTAAAAGCTATCTTATCTTGGTGCATTTTTTTTTCAGAAATCTAAACTCACATTGATTAATAGATATACAGATCCAGTCTTTAAAAGCTCAATAAATTTGACTGGATTTAAAGTTCTGTTTTAACATAATATATTCAGAAGTTCAATGGCCACTACAGAGTAAATGACAACAAAATGCCATGGGATAATTGTTTGTCTAAGTAAGAACCAATAGGTTATATGTGTGGATAGTATGAATTACATAGAACATATATTCTCAGTTGTCTCCCTTTGCCACTCCACCAGGGCCCTTGAAATGAAAATAGTTGCTAAACCATTAACAAGACAGACG